AAAGGTGACTGTTCCGCCATAAAAGTATCATTTCCCCTGGAAACCACTCTTTCCGCTGAGGTCATGTGTGGTAAAAAGTTTAGCGAGCCTGTGTTTGGCTCTGGTTGAGGATGATGGTAGATAGATGGGGCCGAAACGGTATTGCAACAGGACGCAACTTGGTGACGGATTTCAAGGCCAATGCAATCAATTTAAACGCTAAAAGTAAGCCTTATAAATATATCCCAGTCAAAGTGAAGTATTTTGCAATAAACTCACTCAAAACCGGTACTAGGAAGGACCACTAAACGAAGACTTATCTGGCACGCCTTTGGTTCGGAATAAAAAAATCTTGATACAACTGGCAGAGCATGAGTTGGCAAAACTCCACAGCTCACCTGTAGATTCTCGATGATCCTTGGAAAAGAAGAGACCAGAATAATGCGTGTAATTGTGTTATCCAGCACAAGCATTATCCGTTTTGATGCCATAACTGGCAGTTGATTCAGAGTTGGCCGCATGAGGTTGGCCGGCATTAGAGAGCCTGGATTCACGATGTCCGAGAGAGGTGCAATCTGGGTCGTGGTGACCAGCGAGGCTGTCCTTTGGTTCGAGCTCGTCCGCGAAGTCACATTCTGCAAGTTCTCCATAACGTTGTGTGCGATGTATCACCGTGTCCGGCTTCACACTTTCACTTGTCCAAAACACCTTTTCACCGGCTAAACATGCGGCTTGAAATGTGGGGACAAAATCGATTTTACTGTATGTTTAGATTTAGTTGGATTGGCCTAAAAGGAGGTCCGTAATACGTCGGCCAGAATGCTGTCCACGCGGGTCTGGAGAGCGGTGCTGTGGAAGTCCAAAGTATGTCTCAGATGTGACTTCCGAATTGGCGGCTATGGTGAAGGCGTATTCTTTTACATACGCACTCAGGCTGACGCTCCAAGTATGCGGCCGATGTGGTTGAAATAACGACTTTTTATAGCAAGACACCATATTTGAGTTCTCCATCAGAAGATATATCTTCATTTTCAAAACACTCCGGAAGTATGGATACAAAAGGCCTTGCCTTGGCATCTCTAAAGCCTATAAAATGGAGCTGATAACGACTCGGCTAGCGATTAATAGAAGAAAAGGCTTGATTTCTACATTGAGCATCATCTCATCGCCAGATTGGACAGCAATTTTGACCTCACTTAACCGTCGTTTCAGCACCTCCAGCAGAACTTAAACCGCGGACTTGCGTCGCCTCAAACCAGATGACTCTGGCCCCATTTTGGTACACAATAGGCATGACTTTCCAGGGGGATCAAGCCTCTTACAGCGAAAATTGATTTACATTTACCCCTTAACTCTACATCCTACTAACTAAGTAATTAGTAATGGATTTAGCTCGTAATAGCCAGGCTTCTGACAGCTCTTGAATAAGGTTATAGCCAGAATTAAGCAAATTATTGAGTCATCTTTACTCACTATTGTTAATGGTTACCACGGCAATAGAAAGGGCGACTTCCCAATGGCCTCATGGTCATAAGGATTCAGTGAACAGGTCGCAGGGTCTTAACAGCTTGGCGTAGAGATCTCTTAAAATTCGCTTGTAAAATTTATTTGGCCTCTATAGTCTGTTGACTATAATGGATGCGAATTCGAGGTCCATTTCAGGCAAAAATAAGATGATACAACTAGCGGGTCATCGAATATAACGTCCTTAATGAGGGCTTGAACGTTACATTCGTTCGGGGTCAATTCCTTT